TCTTGATTCTACCCACCCCTCTAGTTACTATCTCTGAGTTTCTCTCCTAAACCAAGTACCTCGAATTTGCAAAGTCCGCCTTTTGCAAATCAATTTTCAGCCCCGCTGCAGAATCTGGGGGGAGAAAGGGTTTTTTTTTTTTTTTTGCTTTAAACTCCCCTACAGTTTGTAGATAAAGAAACTCAATACATTTAAATACTTTGACCACAGCTGTTTCAACCCAGTTCAGTCTGATGTCAAAATTGTGTGTGCAGGGGCTGGGGGGTGGTGGTGAACGCTTTAATCCTAGCACTAGGCGGGGCGGAGAGAGGCAGATTGCTGAGTTTGAAGCTCAAAGGTCTACAGATTGAGTTCCAGGACAGCTAGGGCGGTTGGTTACCCAGAGAAACCCTGTCTCAAAAAATAAAAATCCAAACCAAACCAAAACAAAAAAACTGTGTCCTGTTTACTCAGCCCAGGCGCCTTTGTTTCTCTAAGCAGATAAACTAGGACTTCAGCAGCCTGTGACAGGGCTAACCCAACTTCTGAAGTGACAGAGATAAGGACAGTTCTTGCTTCTCTGAGAGATCACAGCCCCTGTTAAGCTTCTGTCCCAACCACCCCCACTGACACTGTTCATTTCAAGGTCATGGGTGTTCTGTCCTGTCAACCCCAATGGCTACTTTTATCTTTTTTTTTTTTTAGCCTTTCAATGGAGTCTTTCGTTTCCTCCCCTCCCTTTCCATTCTAGCTCTGCTTTTTCTTCTATCTCCAACTACCGAACTTCCTCAGAGAAGGTCTTGAGCCAGCCTCTCGGTCCACCTCTTGCCCTTCCTTGGTGATCTCTCTCAGTCCTGTGAAGTCGAGAGGAACCCATGTGCAGTTTATGGTAGCTCCCTCCAGCCTCAACGTCTGCGAATCCAGGTGCCTAAGTTCCTGCATGTGATTGCTCGTTCCGGAAGCGAGTCCTCAAATTTCATAACTCCTTGTTTCTTCCCTGGGAGATGTTCTCCCACTGCCCCAGTTATCTCTGCTGTGTGACAACCTATTTCAAGTATTAGTGGTTCCGAAATCTAGACAGGGTATTATGGGATGGACTTCTCTGGGCTCCACATCTCAGACCTCAGCCAGGGAGAAGCTGTGGTTTGAAAGTGAAACACCCGTTCTGTACGTGCACGTGCTTGAATCCTAATCTCCAGCTCGTGGTGTTTGAGAAGGCTGGGGATGATAGCAACCTTGCACATCTGGCCCCGCCCCTTGGGGTACCTTGCTGAGCGCATCACCCCAGCATCACGCCTGCGCCTGCGTGCACGGCAAGTAGTAACCTGCTCCTTTAAAAGGCGAAACTCCGCCTATTTCTACCACTTCTTCCTCTTCCTTTCTCTGTCTCTGTCTGTCTCTTCCCTCCCCACTCCTCCCCTCACCTCACCTCCTTTCCTCTCCTCTCCTTCCACCGGTTCTGATTCCGGAGGCCGCTCTCCCCCCTCCCCTCTTTCTCTTAATAAAACTTCCCAGCTTGGCTCTCACCCGCCAAGGTCTCAACCATATCAGGAGAACCTTCAGGTGGTAGAACTTCATTGGAAGAAGCGGGTCACTAAGTGAAGGCCTCAAGGTTTTAAAGTCTGACTCTACTTTATGCTTCCCATCGTGCATGCTCACAGGGTTGACGGGTTGCCTTATGTTCCTATTGCTATGCTTTATCCCTGTCATGGCCTGTAAGCCAATAGAAACCTCTCTCCTTTAAACCGCTTCCTGTCAGGGGGCTCAACAGAGTTGCTAGCCAACGGTAACTCAGGAAGAAGACTCAGAGCTGAGGGTGACTGAACAGGGGCAGCTGGAATCGCCTGGAAGGCAGCTTCACTCATACGTCTAGTAGCTAAAGCTGCCTGCCAACTGGACCTTTGCTGGGGCCATTGACTGGAACAGTTGCACGTGGTCACATGACATAGCCCAGGCTCCTTCCAAGGCTGGCAACCTCAAGTAATGTTTCTCGGGCCGATCAAGCAAGGACTCAGCACAAAAAAAATAGAATTTGCATGACTTCGTATAGTCTAAATTTGGAAGACCTCGCTTGGCTCATTTCCACCTTGGAAGCTATTGGAAGGCCTGAGGTCTAAGGGCGGGGCAGTACAGCACACAGAGGCTAGAGAATAGCGGGAATAATATGGTATAGAGAACCTTGCATAAAGGCTGCAAAATTAGCACAGGAAAGAAACTAGTTTCAAAGGAGAAAGCTCACACTCCCTCTGCCACCAGCTAAATACAGTCCCTGCCATCGGCACAGAGGCTCGCCAGGGTGTCTGAAGGTGACCTATGGTTGATTGTAATACTGTAATGCACGCCTTTAGGTGGAAATTTAATACTCATGAAACCAAAATGCATGAAGTTGTATGTAGAACTACATGTAACAGAGCATATGTGAGAAAGCCCAAGAATGACCGCCCGACTCTTTGCACACATCGCTGTGGAGTTTCTAAACTTTTTTTTCTTCTCTGGCACACATCCTCCCTTGGAAGTGTATCTTTTAATAAACCCTTCCTGCCTTTGACGCTGCCCTCCTGTCTCTAGTTCCTCGTTCCAGGACATGGGCACCTGAAAGTCCTCCAGACATGCCCACCGAATCCCCAGATCAGCCAATGTCACCCCCTCCCCGTGCGGCAAAAATAGTACAAGCCACTATCACTTCCCATCACTTACTGGTCTCATTGCTTCCATATTTATCTCTTTCTAGCACATTTTCCATACAGCAGTCAAAAGTGAGCTGGCGAAAATGAGGCTCGTCATTTTCTCTCAGGCAGCCATTTCCAGCCAGGACTACTCTTAGCTTTAAAAGGCCCCAGTAATGTCCTGGTGCTCTCAGCATTAAAGGTCACTTTCTTGTTCCTCTGCCCTCACCCAGCATCAGTTTTCTCTGGGCTCAACCACACCCCGACTATGTCAGAGCGTGCCTCAATTTCTGCTGCATAGCTTTGCCCTTGCCAGCCGTGTTTTTTACTGTTACTCTCCCCTCTTCCCCAACCCAGCTTTCCCCTTCTCTGGATGTGGCTCTGTGAGACCTGAGCACCCACTAAGGTGACTTTTATGTATTTTATCCACCTTTTTATTCACTTCCACGTCACTCCATGTATTTTCTCCAGAGTTCATGATCTTAGATATTCTTCTATAGTCACATTCTTATATTGGACTCATATTAGAATGTAAACTCCATGAGGGTCCTATTTGACAGCTTCATCCAGAGCGTCTGTCACAGTGCCTGGCACACAGCTGATCAGAAAATACTTGTTTAACATAACAAAGGCAGGTAGGTGGAGAAGTAAATAATCTATTTTTTCCAATGGCAGAAAAGAGAAGCCATTTTCTTCTGAGTGCCTCTTTAGAAAACAAGAAATAATTCCCTTAGGAGGCCACTGACCTGAGAGTCAGGGGCCAGTTGCAGCCCCTTTGAGGTCCTGCACATCTGATCCATGCCACGAACAGACCTGGCGTCTTGAATCACAGGCTACGCCTGAAGGAGGCAAGCCTGCCAAATGATCAAAACCGGTAAGTCACCTGCACTCCGTTAGTGACTGACGTAATTAAACCAGGCTGGTTTCTGAAGCTTGCGGGGGGGGGCCGGGGGGAGGTCTGCGATGGGTCCCCCACGAGCCTCATTTTCTCTCAGGCAGTCATTTGCAACTGGGCCTGACCACCGTCTTCAGATAATCATCTCTGCAATCACCCCACAATTCCAAGCATTCAGAGTCACCCGCACCATGACGGTTTCCAAACTCTCCGGACTCATTACAACACCGCACTCAGGTTTCTTAATCCCCTACCCCCATCTGTGAGCCAGAGGCATCTATCCGATGATTCTAAAGAGAATCATAATGAAAATCACAAATGAAGAGTCAGAAGAAAGTGACTCTGAGAGCTTCCCAAGACTTCAGCCAGCTTCTTTAAGCTCGTAAATGGCCCGAGGCATCAAAAGGCTGGCACTCTAAGTCACCCACCTGAGGGCACAGGACGGTCTCATTAGACTGACTCGCTTCACGTGTTCATTTGGCTTCATCAAGACATTAACCTTCCTTCCTTTTTACTCCCCTCACAGCTTCAGACAAGGAAATACACCCCCAGCTTCCTTCCAAGGGAGGTTCTCTGCTCTCCCTGTGTTTTGCAGGACTTCTTTCTGTGGGCTAGCTTCCTGTGTTTCCTCTCTGTTTGATTCTTGAGAAGGTGCTTGGGTCCCTTGCAGCCTGACACCTTCATTGATATAAAAATGGATGCTTATTTCTCTCTTTTCTTTGGAAACTCAAGAAGGGTTTGTCACTTATGACATAAAAACAAAAGCTGCAGCAAACAAACTCTCTACTTGGCAAACATCCCTGTTGAGTCCGAGACTCTCCCTTCCAGTGGTATTTTGTTTGTTTGTCGTTTTTTTCTGAGAATGTCAGTTCTTCAGGCCATTTCACTGGTTGCAGCGTCACATGCTTGAGGTCACAGCTCATCTCAATGGCCTGGCAGCAAGTGTGCAGCCTGAGAGTCACAGGGACCTGAGGAGCAGCGGCCAGCTCCCACGCTCCACCTGTTGCGACGTCAGGGTGGGGTGACTTTCTTATGCCAGTCTGAGAACAGCCTGGCTTCTGAACGTGGGATCTGCTTAGCTCTTCGCACCCCCAACCGGCGTTTAGACTTTTAAATTTAACTTTTCTGATATCTAAAGAATGGTTTCATGGCTAGGAGAAAGAGAATGCATGGTAATGAGCAACATTTTTATCCGTTCTCTAAGCCTTACCCGGGTTGCCCAATTCAGACTGGAAATCCTTAGGATCCTTGCCTGACAGAGCAGCCTGGAGAACAATTTAATGTGATTGTTTTTATCATACCCAGTTTCTTCAAAGAAAGGCAAATATTTACTCCATTGGATACTTTGTCTCCACTCAACGGAGTTTTTTAAAGACAGGTCTTTTTGAGTGTTTTGTTTTCTCCTAAGTACTTTGTTAAGTTCCTGTTCCACCGAGTTCTTCATGATGCTCCATCTGTTCTGGGTTTCCAGAGGGATTTTTTTTTTTTTTAAAGATCTCCTCAGGAAATTCAATGGAAAAGGTAAAGCTTGCCTGCCAGTGGATTTTTGTTTCTCCTCTTTCTGGGAAAGAGCCAGTGTGTGTTTAAAAATAGACTGGAGAAATATCTATGACTTGTGATTCATTCAATTCTCTATTTGCTGTGAAATAAAAAGCAGAATTGGGACATCTGAACTAAAATAACCCTGTAGCCTTCATCTTTCGGAGCAAACAGTTCGCCATCGCAGTCTTCCTGAGATGCCAGCTCCGCCATACTGGCCGCAGAGTCTCACTTTTTATTCAGTCTGATAAAAAGGAAAGGAGGCGATTTAGATTATTCCAACTGTTGAGAAACATTTGCCAATCGATTATACACACAGAGAGATCACCAAATAGCAGTTATTATGATCCTAATATCAGATGCCCAAGGAAATAAAAATATCTAAACAATTTTTTTTTAAAAAAAGAATGACTTACTTTTAAAGTTTCCTTTGGGAGAAAAAACATTATTGAAGCATGCCTGGCAAATAATGAAATTTATAAAGGCTAAGTGTCCAATCAGAAATTTGGAGCAGTTGATAAACCCAACAATGTTTTTAAAGTTGTCTGTAGATGTCCCGAGAGGGCCTCCGATAGAAACCCAACAAACCATTGGGATGAACAGGATGCTTGACATTCTAGTGACAACTGTAATGGTTTGAAGGAAAATGATCCTTCCAGGGAGTGGCACTATTAGGATGTGTGGCTTTGTTGGAGGAAGTGTGTGACCGTTGGGTGGACTTAGAGGTCTCCTATGCTCAAGTAGACCTAGTGCGGAACACAGACACTACTGCTGCTGCCTTCAAACCAAGATGTAGAACTTTCAGTTCCTCTCCAGCACCATGTCTGCCTGCACACCGCCATGTCCTGCCATGATGATAATGGACTAAACCTCTGAAACTGTAAGTCGCCCCCAATTAAATGTTTTCCTTCACAAGAGTTGCCATGGGCTGAGTAGTGGTGGTGCACACCTTTAATCTCAGCACTCAGGAGGCAGAGGCAGGCAGATCTCTGTGAGTTCGAGGCCAGCTTGGTCTATAAGAGCTAGTTCCAGGACAGGCTCCAAAGCTACAGAGAAACCCTGTCTCAAAACAAACAAGCAAACAAACAAAAAACAGAAAAAAGAATTGCCATGGTCATGGTATCTTTCCACAGCAATAGAAACCCTAACAGAAACAACAAAGTAAAGGTGATTCTCATACATTTGTGTTATGATATACTTTTCTGGTCACCGCGCAAAGCCCTCTGAAGCAGGTAGTCAGGATGCTTCACTGGAGACACCACTCATCTGTGCTTCCAGAACTGACTCTGGTGTGTTCCCTGCCCAGAACAGTGATGGGTTTTCCTCCTAGTAAGACCTGCTGTGCCCCAAAATAAGGTATGCTTTGGGAAGAGCAGTTGACGAGGGACACTTAGGCACACCCTCTGGTTCGGTCTCACCTTCTTAAAAGAAGGTCTCACCTTCTTTTCCCTTTGTTACTTTTGACATAATTTCCAAGTATATTTCCTCAAGTTCATAGACTTTTACATTTTACCCTCACTTACACACATTTCACACTTAAGGCTTTTTGTTTTGTTTTTCTTTGTTTTCATTTCAGAAAAAAACCAGGAGCTGGAGAAATGGTTCAGCGGGAAAAGCCACACTAGGATTGGGGTTGAAGTTTGGCTCCCAAGAACCCAACTAAACGCCAAGTGGGTGTGACAGCCTGCTTGTAATCCCAGCCCTCATTTAAAGGTGGACACAGGGAATTCTGGGAACAGACAGGCTGACTAGATTAGTCAAATCAGTGAATGATGGGTTTAAGGGAGAAACCCTGCCTCAGCATTTAAGTTGGAGAATAACGGAGGAAGACATCCCATGTGAGCATCTGACATCAACAAGCACACATACCACAAACAATGCAAATTCGTTAATTGATTAATTTCTTTTGTTTTATTTTGTTTGTTTTGTTTTAGGACACGGTCTCTCTTGTGTAGGCCTGGCGTGTCCTGGAACTTGACTCAAACTTAGAGACTCAAGACTGGACTCAAACTTAGAGATCCGTCTGCCTCTCTGCCTCCAGAGTGCTGGGATTAAAAGCACGTGCCACCATGCCTGACTAATTGGTGAATTTCTAATTAATCAAATTAGAGAGAATGAAAACTATGTTCTGTTATTCATTCATTCATTTATTCATTCAGTTCCTAAGATTGAATCCAGAGTCTCACCTATACATATGAAGCATTCTACTAGTGAACTACACTCCAGCCTCTTTTTAAATTTTCTATTTCTATTTATCTCTACTTTATTGGTAGAAAACTATCAATTAGCTGGCTATGTTCTCCTATGCCTGTTCAGCCCACATGGGAGACCGAGTCATGGAACAATCCGGACAGAACTCTGTGGCCTAGCACTGCCTATGACCAACTTACTGAAATCAGTGACTGTTGGGCCTTGTCCTACGCTTTACAGCCCACCTTTACTTCTTTTCCGGACCCTCAGATCACCAGACTTGGTGGCAGGGCCCTTCATCCACTGAGCCAGCTTGTTGACTCTAACCATAACTACTTCTTTAAAGATTCCATCTTCAAACAGTCATGCTCGGAATTACCTTCAGCACATACATTTTAGAGAGAGACATTTAAGCCATAATGAGAGAGAGAATTGAAAAAAATAATACCTGAACATTTTCCACATCTGATGAAAATGTCTATACTTACAGATCCAAGAAGCTCTATGAACTCATGCAGAAGAATCAAGAAATGTACTATGGCACATTAAAAAGCATTCAAAGCCAGTGATAAAGAGAAAAAAATCTTAAAAACTAGCAGGGAGTGGGGCAAGTTATCTCACTTAGTTAGGGTTTCTATTGTTGTGAAGGGACACTGTGACCATGGCAACTCTTAATAAGGAAAACATTTTGTTGGGGCTTGCTTACAGTTTCAGAGGTTTAGTCTATTATTGTCACGGTGGGGAGCATGGCAGCTCACAGGCAGACATGGTGCTGGGAAAATAGATTAAAGTTCTACATTTGGGTCTGGAAGCAGCAGGACGAGAGAGCGACACTGGGCCTGGCTTGAGCGTCTGAGATCTTAGAGTCCACCCCCAGGAGCACACTTGCTCCAACAAGGCCACACCTACTCCCACCAAGCCACACCTCATAATAGAGCCTTTCCCTGTGAGGCTATGGGGCCATTCAAACTACCACAGAAGTGAATGGAAATACAGGAGAGTGAACTCTAGCAGTGAGGAGGCTCAAAATGACAGTGGAGCCATACCTTCACAGACAGGAAAAGCAAAAGAAAAGCACTCTGGAATTTTATACCCAGTGAAAACATCCTTCTTTTTCTCATTTATTCTATGTGTCTTTTGCATCATGTATCTTGATCCCAATCATTTCCCCATCCCTTTGCACCTGCTCTTCACCTCTGCATCCCCCCCCAATAAAACAAAATAAAATAAGGAAAAAAAGGGATTAAAAATCTCGCCATGGGAGCTGCAGCAAGACGCAGTGAGTCATGCAGCACACCCCTTTGTCCATACATCCGAACTTGCAAGTGTTCATAACAAAGAGTCATTGGTCTGGTTTGAGGTTTCTGTTTTCTACTACACTGTTGATGCTGGGCCCTCATTAGGACTTTTCTTGGATATCCTGCTGTTGCCTTGCATTGTGGAAATCCTGCCACTTTGGGTCTGTGGGTCAGGTCCCTTCACATTCTCCTGCAGATCATAGATGGGGTGGATGTTGGGGTGGGTCAACTCATAACCCTGGTTCTGGGCCTGGGCTGCCGTAGAGTTGATCCACCTTCCAGGAGAACATCTTTCTAATAAAGATTTCTTCAAATATACCAAAGTCGGGAAGGCCTTTTGCAGCAAGTCTGGCAGGTGTGAGGAAGAGAAATAAGGGTAGATGACTTCCGGAGTCACACAGCCCTTTCTTTCTTTCTTTCTTTTTTTTTTTTATTGAAAAAGTCTTCAAGGGCCAGGCAGTGGCGGAGCAGACCTTTAATCTCAGCACTTGGGAGGCAGAGGCAGGTGGATTTCTGTGAGTTCGAGACCAGCCTGATCTACAGAGTTACAGAGTGAGTTCCAGGATAGGCAGGGCTAGTACAGAGAAATCCTGTCTTAAAAACAAAAAAACCCGAAACGAAAGAAAAAAGTCTTCAAGGACTAAGATGAGGCCCGATAAGGTCACGCACAGCCGTTGCTGAGGACTAGAGTTCAAGTCTCATAACCACATTAAGGGGCTCACAGACACTTGTAGCTTTTTTTAAAAAAATCTTATTAATTAATTAAAAAGTAATTCATTAAAATTAATAAGTAAATAAAATGAACTTGGGATTAGTCTGTAATTCTTCTTCGTGGAGAGTTAGGGATAAAGTAGATAGAAAGTAGAAGGACATCCTCCAAAGCAAGAAGTACCCTTGTATTCTGTGGTTTGGAGACAAGATTTCACGTGTCCACAGCTTAACCTCACCAGAACCTTCTGAGAGGCAGAGTTATAATCAGGGGGAGCATTTCCAGCACAGCTAACTCAAGACACCCTTTTTTTTTTAACAGACTGAGGGCCTAGAAAAGGCTAAATCTTCAGGCTGCCCTAAAAGTTAAGTGAAGATGTGCCAGGAAGACGTCTCAGCGGTCAAGAGTACTCGTTGTTCTCGAAGGAACCCAGGTTCAGTTCCCAGCATCTACATGGCAGCTCAAACTGTCTGTAACTCCAATTCCAGGGTATGTGATGCCTGCTTTTGGCCTCTTTGGAAACAGGATGCACATATGTCCATGTAGGCAAAATATTCATACTAATGAACTAAATCTAACAAAACAAGAAATTTTTTAAAGTGTACAGCCATAGAGGAAGACCTCTGACATCCTCTGCCCTCTACATGCTTGCACACATGCATACACACACACACACACACACACACACACACACACACACATCGCACAAGAAAGAAAGGAAAGGAGGGAAAGGAGAAAATACTTTTCAATGAAAGATAAAATATTTCCATTTGTAAAATGACCAGATTATTTCCCTATTAGCACATATGCCCCTCTTTGGAAGCATCGCTTTAGGCCACTCCCCTATAAAATCATTTGTATTTGCTCCAAAGATACACAGCCCTCTCTCCAAGCAGAATGTAGACTATGGTGGGTGGTGGGTGGTGGGTGGTGGGGGAAAACAGAGGATGGGAAGTGTTTTGCGTCATGTGAACATGAGTTTAAAGTGGCTGTGGGGCTTGGGCAGAGATCAGCTATCTTTTGGAAGGATGGCCTTACATTTACTAGCAGGAGAATGCATGTGGTACGTTGTCGATCAAACAGCAAAGAAATGATAGTGTGCACTGTGGGAAGATAGGACCGTGTGGTGGGAGTTACAGTTTTGATGTTTGCTTGTTGCTTGTTTTGGTGATGGTGGTACGTCAAGTTTTTGCTTTGTCCCTTCTTCATCATCCTTTTCTTTCTCTTTTTCCTTTTTCTCGTCCTTTGGTTTGGAGATAGGGCCTCATGATGTACCCATTCTGACTGTGAACGCCTAGTCCTTCTGCCTCAGTTTCCCCACTGCCAGGATTGCAGTTGTGTTTAACTTGTTTACTCTTTTTACTTCTTTTATCTTTTTGTGTAGATATGTGTGTGGCATGTTCGAATATGTGTGTGTGTGTGTGTGTATGTATGTGTGGGGGGTGTGTATGTGTGTACATATGTGATGTGGGAGTCCCCTCTGTGTGCTGTGACTAACATTGGTGATTAAACAAACTGCCTTGGCCTGTTGATAGGGCAGAACTAAACTAAACGGAGAAAACTAAACTGAATGCTGGGAGAAAGGAGGCAGTGTCAGAGAGAAGACATGGAGCTGCTGCCAGAGACAGATGGGCTGAAACTTTGTTTGTAGGCCACTACCTCGTGGTGATACACAGATTAATAGAAATGGATTAAATTAAGATGTAAGAGTTAGCCAATAAGAAGCTAGGGCCAAGCAGTGATTTAATTAATACCATTTCTATGTGATTATTTTGGGGCTAAGTGGCCAATAACTAACTAGTGACCCCTAAAATTGTGTGTGTGTGAGTGTGACTGTGAGTGTGTATATGTGAGTGTGTATTGCACATGTTTATGGTGCATGTAAGCCATCTCCCCAGACCCTTGCACATTTTTATTTTGTACCTTTTTTTGTAAGATATATGTCATTTTTACAGATATAGGGAAAGTCATGCCATTAAAAAAAATCAAATGGGATTCTGAAATTTCACTGGGAATCTGGACACTCAAACCTTTCACAATGCTCATCTCTCATCCATGGCTAAGGCTGTTCCTACACAGGGGAGAGGTGTAGATTCCTGGCTGGATCCTGAGGAAGCCCCACTAAGGAACCCTCCAGACTCCCCACACAAGCCCCAGGAATGTTGGGAACAAACTGATGGCCTAGAATTGCAGGATTTTTAGAATAAATTATGCTACCTCTGAATAAATGGAATATTTGCAGGGTTTGAAATCTCTGGTTTTAAGAATATTTAGTAACATGGGGAAATGTTCAAATTGTAGCATTAATTTTTAAAAGTCACACGTGGTGCTATGCTTCTTGGAAAGACTTATATATGCAATTTAGCGTCTTAAAGGAAATAGACCCAAATGTTAATAAACATTATCACCAGCTGATAAAAAATACAAATAATTTTGACTTCTTTACTCCTTTCTCTGTTTAGAAAAATTCCAACCATGACTTAGGTTTATAATTAGAACACAAAGCATTATTGTTATAAGAGTTTTAAAAGAACATGACTTATGGAATGGAGACCAGTTCATGGTGTAAGGGCTGAGCACACAGTGTAGGTAGAAACATTGGCTCTGACCCGGTGGCAGTCACTTTCCTCTATGTCTCATGGGGAAAGCAGTTGGTCAGCAGGCCCTGGGTTCAGTGCCCAGCACTGTAAACAAAATTTACATTGTTCACCTCATAGGATCACTGTAAGAGTTAATAAGTTAGGGCGCTGGAGAGGTGGCTTGGTGGCTTCCCGAAGACCTGAGTTCAGTTCCCAGCACCCATGTCACGTGGTTCACAACCACCTGTGACTCTGACTTCAGGGGATCCGATGCCTCTATTTTACTAAAGCACCTATACATGTATGGCATATACTTATATGCCCCTGCATACATACATATACACATGATTAAAAAGAAAAGAAATCTTTAAAAAAAGAGTGAATAGGCTAAAATAGTTCTTGGAATAGTACTTAGCATATAAAAACACTCTTAATTAATACTATTATTGTTGCAGATTCAGAACTCTGGCCTCCTACCTGTCTGTAAGCTCAGCTACTTCAGAAAAAAAGTATTTGAAGAATGAATTGTAATAATATAGTTTTCCTTAGTTATAATAAAAGATAAAATAGATATAACTCTAATTCTAGCTTGATAATTGTTTCATGTAATTTTGCTATGTTAAAGTTAAACCCTTCCCTTTTTATTTAAACAGAAAAGGGGAGGTAATGTGGTACTTTCCTCTGTATGCTGTGATTACCATTGATAAATAAAGGAACTACATTCTGGAGGACTGTGATTATGTTGAAGAGCTGGAGTTACAGGCAGTTGTGAGCCACTCAGCCTGCACAGGTCATTTCATACTGGTGTGAAGAGCCTATCCAAAAATTACCCGCAAGTCACGTAGTGGGGCGGAGACTGAGGTGCGAGCCTATGATTATTTGGCTCCACAGTTTCATATCTATGCTATTTTGTGTCGCTAAAATGAAAACAAACAGACAAATAACCCGATAGGAGCAACTTAGGGAGGAAGGAGTCCTTCTGGCTCACAGGTTTGGAGGAAAGTCTGTCTGTTATGGGAAGAGGCAATGTGGGCGGGGCACTGAAGGAGCGGCTCTCTGGTGGCAGAAGCCTGTGTCACAGACTCCTCACAAAGCATCAGAGTAGGGGGCTGACCATAGACCAGAAGCAGAAGCAGGTATAACCTTCAGAGGCCTGGCCCTTGTGACGTATTCGGCCAGTCCTCCCCACTCCAAAGTCTCTATAGCCTTTACAATAGTGCCTGCCACAAGCCAGGGACCGAGGTGTGAGCACTCGAAACTCAAGCATAGGGCCACAGTTCAGGCTCAAAGTTTAACACCATTTAACTAACATCACCTTCTAAGTCCTTCCAACTGAGAGAAGAAAATACACACAAGACGGCTTTACATTACCTCTAGAACCGGGACATAGGAGGAATCCGTGCGTATCGGTGCGTCCCTCCTGGATCCCGTCCTTACGGAACAAGCCAGGTTTCAACAGGGATCTATGTAAACTGGCGGCTCACCCAACAGACTGCAGAGCAGAATGGAAACTCTTCCTTCATAAAAGGAAGTATGATCAGGCCCAAGCACACTGTGACTAAACATTCTGAGGCCTGGGTGCCCTTATGAGAGGTAAATCAGGTTTCTCAGTCAAGATGAGGGCCGTAAGGGTTTGCCAGCTTCAGCAGTCCTTAGACTCGGCACCATCAGTTCCTACCATCCATATTCCTACCTATCTGGTGGCAACCTCTTTTAAATCTTTCTTCTTAAATACTAGGATGCCACCACCTCTGTGAGGCCTGCTGCCACTCTCTGGGAACAGCTATCCACTGCCCAACCTCACTCCCATCCCCACCTTCATCCCCACGTTCGGATTGCCACCCCTGGGGCTGATTCTTCATGACATTGATTCTCTGTGTGTAATAGCTCTCTGAGCTGTCATACCTGACTGATCAAAGACTTCCCCTTTCTTTTTAGTAATGGAAAAATAACTTGATATGACATTAGTCGAGCGATCAATAGCGGCTGGTATAGAATAGGTGCTCCATAGATGTTTTCTGCCGCCATGATTCTCTCAACCAGAAAACCCAACCCTAAGTGAAACTGCTCAAAGCTCCTGGTTCCTAACAGATCTTCCTTGAGTAAGCAAATGAACACACCTGCCTCTGCCTTGCACACCCGCCTCTGCCTTGCACACCCTGCCTCTGCCTTGCACACCCGCCTCTGCCTTGCACACCCCGCCTCTGCCTTGGAGGAAGGAAGTTGTGTCCTATAGTGACTTGTATCTCCTAGAATACTTTCTTATTTTTATTTCTATTCTCCAGAATAGCTGAGACAACTGGTCACATGACTGGGAAGAGTAAATAACCTGGCTGATTTTCTCTACTTGTAAATGAGATTGATAGACTGAAATTTTACCTCTGGGCCAGCTACAGGAAACAGGTGTCCCGCCATCTGTTTCCTTTTGAGTAGACGGAGGCTGCCAAGGGGCTGTACACTGAGCTATATAGAGGTCTCGAGGAGAACTTCACTTGACCCACTGGCCAAGTACAGGGCTTCTTTCTTTCTTGCTTCTTCTTCTTCCTCTTCTTCCTCTTCTTCTTCTTCTTCTTTTTTTTTTTTTTTTTGAGTGTCGACCGTCAGCATCAACCCTAGAAGAATAAGCCCCAAAAGTGAGGATCCCAGTGGAATCCAACTTCTTGTTTCTCTGATTCTCAGCAAAGCCGGGGAGATCTCCCTTCTCCCCAGCCATCCAGGGCCAGCCTAGCAGTGAAGGCAGAATAAAGCTCAGAAAGTATTTCTTTGACAAATGAAGTTGCTTTTAAGGAAACAAAGAGAGAAATGTCTAAATTCTAAACCCTGTAACTTTGTGATGTCCCCAACTTCAGAGCCACACAGCAGAGGACAGATGAAAAGATTTCTCATATCTTGGCAAAATTACACAACTGAGAGAGTGCTTTGTCCCAGAGTGGTATTCACGTTTTTTTTAATCAATTAATTTATTTATTTAGCATTAACTGAACCCTTACTGGAAAATAGGTGCTTTAAAGGCTATTAATTAATCTTTTTAAAAATTCTTTGAGATAGGGTCTCATGTAGCCCAGGCTGGCCTTAAACTCCTAATTCCTTGACCTCCAATCCTGAGTGCTGTTGCTGTGATTACAGGTGCCACATCTGTCACGTCGAATCTTTTATAAAAAAAATTACTGTGTATTCATTGTACAAAATAATGATCTCTGTTATGACATTTTTATGCATATCTGTCATGTTTTATTACATCCACTCACATTCTTCCTTCCCCTCTGTCTCTTCTTCCTGGTCCTTTCCTTATCCTTCTGCCTTCGTGTCTTGATTGCCTTTTAATCCAGATGTAAGAGAAAATGTGTAAAAACTGTTATCCTGAGTCTGGCTTGTTTCATTTAACGTGGTTTCCAGTTCCATCTATTTCCCTGCAGATGACAGGGTGCTGTGCTTCATTGTGTGTATGTCCATGTCTCACAGTCTCTATCCATTCCTCTGTCAATGGATACCTCGGCTGATTTCATAACTCGGCTATTATGAGCAGAGGGCAGAGAGGTCTGTTGTATGATGTGTTCAGTCTTAACATCAAATATTGAGGTGCTACTATGATAACATTTTTTAATCCGTCTTATAGGTGGATAAAAGCAAGCTGAGAGGGACTAAGTGATTTTCTTATATTTTTGGTTGTGAGCCTAACCTTTAACGGCTGAGTCATCTCTCCAGCCCAAGCTAAGTGATTTTCTTAAGACCACAGACTAATTATACTGGAACACACACACACACACACACACACACACACACACACGTGAACTTTAAAGGCAGTTTCTCTGGCACCAAGAATAGTGTCTGGCATATAGCAATGCTAAATAAATACTTGTTGAAGTACTGTCAGAACTGTCTGACTCTACACCACTTCCCCATTTCCATGATGTCACGGGCTACTCTGTAAAATGGCCTTGTAAAGTATCAGAGAAAGAAACACACCTGAGGGCTGACATTCAGGTCACCCAGGAAAGCCGGGGCACCGGAGAGAAATAGTTAAGAAAGAGTTAAGTTTAAGTCCGGCAGTGGTGGCTCATTCCTTTCATCCCAGCAGTTAGGAGGCAGAGGCAAGAGAATCTCTGTGAGTTCGAGGCCACACACAGAGTGACCCTGTCTCGAAACACTGTCCCCCCCCCCCACCAAAGAAAAGAGTTGAGTTCAAGACTTCTCACCTAAAGCTCAAAGCAATCCACTGGATACCGGAGGAATTAAGTCCCTCAGAAGGCTAGACCATACAGGGTGACTGTCTTATAAAGTTAGGGTTTGATGCTGAGAAGGGTTCTAGAGGGAAGGGGAGCTGGGCAACTGCAACCTGATTGGAACTACTTCTTTGTGCATTGTATTTCTCTAGATGCCATCGTCTAAAATGATCACGGGTCTTGAATTGTGTGTGCCTGTGTGTGCCTCTTAATCTCTCTCTCTCTCTCTCTCTCTCTCTCTTTCTCCATCCCTCTGTGTGTGTGTGTGTGTGTGTGTGTGTGTGTGTGTGTGTGTGTGTGTGAAACTGAGTACTGAACCCCAGGACCTTGCACATGCTGAACACACGTTCTATACCACTGAGTCATATTCCCAGAATGACCTTGAACTTGTAAATGAAACCATTTGTGTGTTATTGAGATAGCACATATGATTTATGCCAAATGGATACATAGAAAGAAGGAGATAGGACCTTGTTACAGGATGTCTTTAAATTCACTGTGTGACCCATACTGACCTTAACTTAGTGAGCCTCTGGCCTGGGCCCTCAGAGTGATTGCATGTACCACCACTCCTAGTTTCATGGTATTTTCAATCTCAAAGACAACGCCTATGCATAGCCTACTTTAATAAAAATGAGCAGCTAAACAACTCATTTCTATTTGTTGAGTGTTTAACCAGATTTGTTTCTATGCCAGGTATATTGTAAAATAAGTAAATATATACATAGATGAATATAAACGTGTACATCTTACACAGCATTAAAGAGACCATGTAGAAATGAACAAACACTTCTCAAGCCCACAGACAACCAAACAGGCTTGCTGTCTAAAGTAATGAATGATGGCATTCTTACGGTTGCATAGGACAAGGTTAGACCTTGCGATGGCATCCCTTCCTTGGTTCAAGCTCCCTATGCTTCTTTTTCCATTAAAAGAAGGAAGAATGAGGAGGAAGGAGGAGGAGAAGAAGAAAAGTTGGGGTATAGTGGTGCACACCTTTAACCTCAGCGATCAGGAAACAGGCAGAATCTCTGAGTTTGAAATCTTTAAACTTGAAGATAGCCTGGTCTATAGAGCCAGTTGTAGAACATCCAGGGCCACAGGAGAAACCTTATCTTGAACACACACACACACACACACACACACAACAACAACAACAACAACAAAAACGAGTGTTCTGCCTGCTAATCTTTTCAAAGCCCCCTTTTCAGGGTGACAGTAAAGCAGATCCTGTTGGTGGACATTTCAGTGTAGGAAGCACCAATCTTAAACTTCCAGAAAGAGCAGAAAAATCATATAAACCACTCCTCATCCGGAAAGAAGTCGCTGTCCTCACCGGAACCTCATGTGCCGACAAAGCCCCAACCAAGAACACATGGGGCCCCCGGAGTCATGTGCATGGGCTTTTCCTGGCTGACACAGCGGTCTGTCATTGCCTGGATTCCTGCTCTGTGTCCGTGTTTCCCTTGGCCCTGGTGCGTTCTCTCAGATCCTCAATGACTCCACTTTGCAAGGAAGAAGAGCAATCAGTCGAACATGGATGCAAGGGACGGCTCCTGTCACGAACAGGGTCTGTGGTTATTTCTTACCCCTCTCTCCTCAGCACACTCCAGCTTGTCTCTAAACTTCCCATCTTGTACATCTCGTATTGTTTTCTAAATATAGATGTTCTCTACCTCAGTGAAAAGACCATCTATTAAGAACAGAGCGATTGCAAGCAACGCGCCCAGCAGGCATAGCACAGAACAGAGGGTGTGCTCGGCGCTTCTTACTCTGAGGCATAAAAGAAGCCAGATAAGGTGCCTGGGAATATGGGTTAAGCACCAAGTCTTTTTCCTGGTGTATGGCAGTGTGGTTTTGGATGACTAACTCAGCCTGGTAGTCACACACCAGCCCAGAAAAGGGATAAAAGGACACGGGGGGGGGGGTCAACTTCGACCTGCTTGTCTTCCATCTGCACCTGACATACTCGTGGGCGGAATAACACGTCCCAGCTGGCCACTTGTGCTGAATTCTGAGACCCCCAAGACACCCATCGCCCTTGGAATTAAAAAATTACAAATGGAATTTTTGCACCTGCAAATTAGGAAGAAAGAAAAAACATAATGCAAGAATTTGGAAGGGATCCCCTGAAGTGTTTCCATCACCCTTGTCAGGCTGTGTTCTCTGTCCCTGGTGAAAGCCAGCTAGGCATATGAGGAAGGCCTCCTGAGGACCATTTAGCTTTTGCGCTGAAATTAATTTTGGTTCGACAGATTAACCATAAAGATGCTTACCGGCTGTAGGTGTGCCAAAGCCAGCGTCAGGAGAAAATCTAGAAAAATTTTACAGGGATGGTTAATGGCTTCTGCAAAATTAATTTAAATTGAAATAGAATAAGAACATATGGAAAGAATCAATCATTCCCCATTTTGAGTGAATATTATTTTAGCATGCATAGATTTCTGATATAATTTTCTTCCTTTCCCTTAAGGGCTTGGATGCACTGGCACACGAAGTCTT